CCATGCCCAGCCCATCCCAGCTCCCCCCTGCAGGAACAGGAGGTATTCCCACAAACCCTTCCCTCATTTCCAAGGGTTTTTCTGATCCCTCTAAACCACAGAACCCAAAGACTGATGCCTCCAGTTAGTAAGCAAACTGTCTGTTTGTCTTGTTCCCAGTCACAGCCTGAACCAGGAATTCCAGAGGAAAACCAGGAATGTGGATCTTTCTCCCCAAGGCTCACTTGGCTGTGAATCCAAGTGGGAATGACAATAATTCCCGCCATGGATAAACCCTTCTCTGCTCTCTCTCCACCAGCCCCGGAAGGATTTGATGCATCTCCTGCACGTTTAGGATTTTCAGCCACAGGGAGATGCAGTGTAAACAGCAGGGCAGTAAATATTCATTTTCTGTGGGATTAAACCTAAATATTGCTCCGCTTTTTCTGAGGAAAAACCACCTCCACCACCACCACACAGACACCGTGGGGAAAGGAGACAAGAGATGCCACAAAGCCACTGCCAACCCCATAACACTCCAGTTTCCATATGGAAATAAGATGTGCCCAATTTCCAGCACCGAGGCAAACAAAAACCGCATTAAGATTCCACCTCACGAGAGCTTGGTCCTAAAAATCTGTAATTTTCTTGATCTTTTCGAGGGAGTTCTCGTTTTCAGCGACATCAGAGAGCCAACAGCCCGTGGATGCTCCCATCCAGCTCCAGCAGGCATTTGCATTAATCTGCTTTGGGTTAATTAAGTGGTGTAAAAGCATCTCCCCCCCTCACCCAGAAATCTCTTCCACGCTCAGATTCCTTGTCAACCTCCCTCCTTTTTTTTTTCCCCCAGCCTATAAAAACTACAAGTGCAGAAGGCTGGAAGGAAAAAAAAAAAGCAGGAATGAAAAACACTGGAGTTACTGGTATTTTTCCCACCTACCTAGAGCTAATGATAGGACAAAAATAAAGGTCTGGGGTTAAACAGGGAAGAAAAGAAGTTATTTGTCTGTCCTTATTTACACATCAGCCAAACCCATCACCTAAAGAATTTGGAGCCCATCGCCCAAGGAATTTCGCCCCTAAACTCCAGAAAGGTGGAGGGGGGGGAAAAAAGGAAGGAGGACAAAAAAAAGGCATTCCAATAATCTCCATTAAAACCAGCTGAAAACTATTATTGACGAGAGCAGTAATTACCTTTTGCACCCCCAGAGAGCACAAAGCAGCTTCTCCCCCTCACACAGAACACCTGCCCACCAACTCAGAGCAGCCAGAGGAGGAAGGCAAACTTATGGAAGCTTTTATTTATCAGGAGGGACTTTGTGTCTGAAGGGCAGGTAAAGCAAATGAAACTCCTGACAGCAGCATCTCTCTGGGAACATCTGTAAAGCAACACTCAGTGATGCTCTACTATTGCACTGGCACAGCTCTTGCCCGTCACCCAGAAGGTTTAGGGCTTGTAATTGTTAAGTATTAACTGTTAGAAAGAGTTGACAGCTTCTTGCTGTCTGATCAGGTATGATATCAAACTCTACAGAAAGGCAGCTGTGCTTGGAAACAGAATTAACTGGGTTTACAAGTCCTGCTCTCAACAGCAACATCAAGGGTGCTGGGGTGTTGCCCGCTGATAACATGTTTCATGTAAAAATAATATGAAATCAATATAAAAAAAGGGCATTTTGGGCAGGATTTTACTTCCAAAGCACTACTAATCTGTAGTTTATTGCCCTGCCTGCGCCATAAAGTGAGGAGAGTCCAACCATAGCCACAGGGACAAACAGCAGAGGCAATTCCAGAGACACTCCCAAACCTTCAGCAAGGGCTACCAAACCAACAATGAAATCAGTAATGCTTGAAAAGAAAGGTACACCAGTAAAATTCCCCCCCAACCACTCAGGTTCTGAAGTCACAGCAGCATCTTGGGATTTACAGTTCTGGTTCTATTTTTTTTGGGGGGGGGAAGATAAATTTTTAAAAACTAATTTTCCTGATCATAACCAGTGTGAGACAGGAAAAGAATCAATTAAAAAACCAGGGAATGGAACAGAAAATGCTACAAAGGTATCTCTGCCAGGCCATTTCCTTCAGCAAAAATCACTCAAGACCTTGTGAGTGGCATCAGGAGAGACAGAGAGGACCAAGAAGATTCTTTGGGTCAGGTGATTTTTAGCGTGATTTTCGCTTAAATGAGTTGTAAAAAAAAAAAAAAACAAAACAAAACAAAACGTTGAAGTCTTGCCCCTTGTAAAACTCAAGAGCTGCAGAACCACCTGGAGGATGGACCACCCAGGTACCAAAGGCAGAGCAGGCAGCCAGGAGGAAAGAAACGATGTTTAGGGAAATAAGGAGCTGAAGAGTAACCAAAGGGAACAGGAGATGCTCAAACTGCAGCACCTACAAGAGATTGTGGTTGAAAACAACCCAACCACCTCAACACGGGGTGTATGCTCCAAAAAAAAATCACACAGAAACGGTGAAAAGCACACGTTGTGTGCTCCTGAAGTGTCACAAAGCCTCCCTGAGCGATCACCACAACCCGGAGAGCACGAACACCCTTCCTTGGGGGAGGGGAGAACACAGATAAATATCTGCAGAGAGCCTTCTCTGATCAACGAGCTGTTTTGGTTGCTGTTTTCCTCGCTCAAGCTCACCTCCAGCACAGGCAGCTCGTTCAGAGGTTATTTTATTATTCCTTCAAGGATCTTCTGTCCCCTTATTAAATCAAAACCACACACGCAGGTCTATCTCAGGAGTGTATTAGAGGGCACAAGGAGAACCTTGACCCGGGCACTTTGTTTTCGGGTTGAGTTAATGTGCCTTCAATCTCATCCTCCTGGATTACTACAAACCTACACCCACTTCCAGCCGAGCATCCACAAATATTTTAAAAGCCTAATAACAACACAGATGCTCTTTTTCAAACATCTTAGTCAGAAGAGGGGAAATGTGTGTGGTTTTTTTCACTCCCTTAGCAGAGATGATCGGATCCACTGGAAATTCCCGTCCATTTGCAGGATTTCACACAGCACTCTGCAGATAGTAAAATCAAATCTCTTTTGAGATCAACACCCAAAAAAACCACAGCGTTTCCACCTATTTAAAGAACACAGAACCTGGGCAGGCTTGTTTTCAGCCTGAAGACTGGAAAAGAAACTTCTGATGATGATGATGATGAGACTTATTTCAGTTTCAAGTCGGTTCTAACACTCCTCATAAAAATGCCTGCACTTCATGCTTAAAATCTTAAATACCCTTTTAATTTTGATCATAAAAACAACAGCTTGCTGTTGAATTTACCTACTTTCCGACCCGCAGCAGGACTGCAGACCTTCTACAATTTTAGGCGAGCAGAAAATAGTTTAACAACTGTTAAGTACCGGAACACTTCATGTGTAATAGTGGAATAACCACCAAAACAGTGTCATTAACATGAGGAGCAGTCCGGAGTGCAGGCAAGTTTCCTGCTCATTTAGCAAAGATTAATTCTCCACAAGCAAGGGAAAGGTTCTTTTTACCTCACCAAGGACAACCCGAGCAAGAAATGCTAAGGAATAGTCGTTTTGTTTTGTTTTTTTTTTTAATATGTGTGATGGGCAACGTCAACAAAAATCACTATTCTGTGCTCTGGGCAAAAGGATCTTAGAGGTGGAAGAAAGACAGACTTGGAGAGCAGATGGCACCAAGTCTTCGAGAAACAGTGAGGGGAGGGGGGGAAAGTTTCCTTACAAAAACCCCTCCCCGAATGAAGAGGGACGCTGCTTAACTTAATCATCAAAAGACAAAAGACCCACATTTTACCTCAAAACCTTTAGGGGAATAAAAACTAGAAATCCCAGCCAAACCTTCGGGGTGCCCTCACCCTGCCCTGCTGCCCCTCCGGCTCAAACAGGGAGGGTTTTTTTTTTTTGGGGGGGATGTTTCTTGCCGGCATCGCTGCCCCCCTCTCAGCACGAAACGGAACGGATCGATCGCGCCACAGACACAGGGCGAGACGATCCATTTACCGACCGCAGCAAAAACGGCCTGCTCAGCAAAAAAAAAAGAAAAAAACAACCCTCCACACACCACTTAGAACCCCGAGAGCCTAAAAGGGCAGCTCGTTGGGCCCTCCGAGGGACTGAGAGGTTGATAAACAAGCGGGTTTCTGCACGCCCCGCCAGGATGGGAACATCCACGGAGCTAAAATAAACTAAATACCCACTCAAAGAGCAAGCAGCCAGTGCTGTAAAGCGCTGTTGGATCCTTACGCGGCTCCTAATCGTTTTTTTTTGGTTTTTTTTTTTGGCTGTGATTGATGGACTTGCGAGCAGAACAGGACCAACAGTTGCCCAACCAACCAACCAACCACTGGTTGCTGCCATCGTTCTCCTCCCGGAGCAGCGTGGGGAAAAAATCCTCGCACCCCGCTCCCTTCGCAGCTCCGATGTCGCCGTTTCCGAGAGGAAACGAGCGCTTTTGTAACACAAAGGGTTAACAAATTGTTTAGAAACCGAAAGCCTGGCTTTTCACCCCAGTTCTGCTCGCCCCTCGCCGTCATTTAAAAGGACGAGCCCGGGCTCCGGGAGCAGAACCCATTCTAAATTAATGAGGCATCAACGAAGGTCGACGTTCACCAGTGAATAGTCCCGGAGCGAGGGATCAAACTGAATTAAAAAAAAAAAAAAAAAGAGCATTTCGGCGGGGTAATTCTTATTTAAAAACATGCCGTCCGACACACCAGTGGCTGCGCTGCCAGATTACTGATGTGACACTAGGTGGTTACGTCTCCTCATTTATTCCACACAATTGATCCGAAATCCAAGCGCTGCGCGCGTTTCAAGCGCTTCGCGTTATTATATTTTTAAGAGAAAAAAAAAAAACAACCATAAAAGCGGCTCCTGCCTTTGCAGCCAAACGTTTGTCACCTGAAAAAAGCAGAGATTTTTTTTTTTCCCCTCACTCACACACGGGGTCAGCCCAAGCTTTCAAGCGCTGACCCCAAAACCCTTCCGCTTAAAGCAACAGATCCAAGAGCGCTCACTTACCTGATGAACAAGAGATAAGAAAAACAGCGAACGCCAACTTAGTAGCAGCTCCCATTTTCCAACGCTGTTAAAACATTTAAGTGACTTTTAAAGTATCCAGTTTCCTGGGTCCTGCAAGCTGGAAAAATAATAATAATAATAAAAAAAAAAATCTCCCTTCTTGCTGAACCGTTATAAAGCAATTTATAGCAACATCTCTGCAGCAGGTAGTGTTCAGAAAACACTAAAAATCAGGTTTGTTTAGACTCTGACGGCCTCCCCGCGGCTCCTTCTAGAGAGAATCCGGGTCGAGGGAGGGATAAATATATTTGGAACCGTGTTTCAAAACACACGTGTCATTTGGCTTCTCTACAAACGGTGGCAAAATTCAATTCACGAAAGTAATGCTACGAATCCACTTTAAAAAAAAAAAAAAAAAAAAAGCAAAAATAAAATAAGAAAACAAGTCAAGAATTAAGCTGCTGGGCACGACGAAGTCTCTCGAGTCTCCAAGTGTTTTCCACATCAAGCGCCGTGCAGGATCATCCCTCGTGGATGTCGGGGGGTCGGGCCGGGCTGAGTCCACACGGTGTTTTCGTCTCCTGCCTCCCCCCCTCCTCACACACCTTGTAGTGTTCGGGAGAAAAGCAGCTCCATTCCAGTTCCAAACCTCGGGGGCGAAGGGAGGAAGTTCTGTCAGCTCCTCGACGAGAAAATTAATAATAATAATAATAATTAAAAAAAAAAAAACTACCTTAAAAACCAGCCACACGTGGGTTTTTCTTTAATAACGCCGAGGGATTTCGCGCAGCCCAGCCGAGGAAAAGGTGAGGGGGGGGGAAAAAAAAACCCAACAGTTTGGTACCAAAGCAACCTTCGGGAAGGGGCAAAGCTCTAGTCCTTGGCCAGGCAGCGAGAGCAGCGCATCCCCCCCGGGTTCCGCCGTCCTTCTCCAGCACTCCCGAATCCCGGCAAGATTTCCAATCCTTCTAGGAGATTTCCATCCCCTCCCCCCCCCCAGCGAAGAGGCTATATTTGGTTTTTAAACGCACGGCAGCGACCGGGGAGGGGGGTAGGAAAAAAAAAATAAAATAAAAAAAAAATGCAGTATCCAGGCGCTGGGGGAGGAGGAGGAGGGTGGTGGATTCTTTGTGGCAAATCCTTGCTGGAGCGCCGAGCTTCCTTCCAGGAGAGCTGGGCTTCTTTGGAAGGGAGGAGGCGAGCGGGGCTGTGCCTCACACAGGATGGATGGATCCGGGATTCACGGGGCCGGGATGGATCCAGGATTCACGGGGCCGGGATGGATCCACGCTCCTCACGGCTCCGGGATGGATCCGGGCTCCTCGAGGGTCCGGGCTGGATCCAAGATTCACGGCTCCTGGATGGATCCACGCTCCTCACGGGCACATCTCCTCGCTGCTCAACACCGACCCTCCGCCAAGCCCACCCCTCCGAGCTCGATCCGGCTGTCGCCTCGGGTTTTTTTTTCCTCCTCTTTTTCCTTTTCCTGCGCGGAGCGAGGAGCAGCAGGACACGGCAGGGGCGGGGAGGCAGCGCCTTCCCCCCGCGCCTCCCACACGGCGGAGCGGGGCGCGCTGCCCTGCTCGCCCTCTCCCCTAACTCTGGCCCCGGCTCAGCTCCCCGGTCTCCCGGGCGGCGGAGGCAGCGCGGCTCAGCCCAACTTTGTCCCTCCAGCAGTGCAGCTTCGGGGCGGAAAGGCCGAGCCGGGGGGTTCTCTCCGGGCGGCGCCGGCCGTGCCTAGAGCCCGCCGAGCGCGGCTGGCAGCGCGGAACAGCCGTGGGTGCCCCGCTGCCGCTGCTCCGCCGTGGTAATCTCATATCTACCCATTCACCCGGGTGGCGTGCGGAGAACCGGCCCAAGATGGCGGCGCCCGGGCGATTGTTTTTGTTTCCTCTCCGCCTCCCCCTCCTTCCCCGCGGCCGCGGCGGCCGCCGCAGATTGACAGCGGCGCCGCCCAATCGCGGCGCGCCGTTCCGCGCTTGGCCCCGCCCACCGCCTCTCGCTCCGCCTATGGGCGGCGGGGCGGGGCCGGCGTGAGGGAGCGCGCCCCGCCCCTCGCCGGCCCCGCGCGCGCCGCCTCACGGGCGCGCTCCCGCCCGCCCCGCCCGCCCCTCAGGGCGCGGCCCCCCGGGCGCCCTCGGCCCGCTCCGCCCCGACCCCCGCCCTGCCGGGGCTTCGCCTCCTGCGAGGGGTTGGGGGGCCTGCTCGGTGCTCCCGTGAGCGGGGGATGGAGGCAGAAACGCCGCCGGCAGCGACGCGGTGCGACCTGGCTGGGAGGAGGTCACAGCGCTGTGGGTGCTGCCGGTGCGGGCTAATGGTGTCCTGGTGCTGCGCCTCACCCACGCCCCAGCCTGCAAATGGCCCTGGAAATGCCCCACAGGTGGGCCTGGTGGGAGCCACGGCTGTGGGCACGTTCCTCAGGGGCACTGGTGGTGCCACAGTGTAGAATCAGAGTCACGGAATGGCTTGGAAGGGACATGAAAGATCATCTCGTTCCAATCTTTATGCCGTGGGCAGGGACACCTTCCACCAGCCCAGGCTGCTCAGAGCCCCTGCCCTGGCCTTGGACACTCCCAGGGATCCAGGGGCAGCCACAGCTTCTCTGGGCAAATTGTGCCAGGGTCTCCCACCCTCTTAGCCAGGAATTCCTTCCCAATATCCCATCTCTCCCTGCCCCCTGGCAGTGGGAAGCCATTCCCTGTGTCCTGTCCCCCATCCCTTGTCCCAAGCCCCTCTCCATCTCTCTGGCAGTCTCCCTTCCCCAGACACTGGAAGACACCCGGAGTGTGTGTTATGACACTGTCACACCACCATCCCACATTAAAAGGAGGTTTTTCTTCCCCCCTGTGCCACGTGCAGGTCACTAATTAATTAATTGTTCTATGCTGGCCCCCCTGAAGGACAGGGTGCTCCCCTGTGGGTGGTGGCCGAGCTTCCCGGCCCTGGCACCTTGCTCAGCCTCCCCCTAAATCACAACAAACTCCTGTTTCCTATCATTGTTTGTCCCTTGGCACTTCCCAGGATTTATTTGGGCTGAGAGAGCCTTCGGATGTGCCCAAGACAAGCACAGCACTGCGCTGTGTGACAGAGGAGGGCGGAACAAACGGGTTTGTTCTCCAGCAGGCATGGATTTGGGATAGAGGAGGGACAGGAGCAGGATGGGTGGGCGATTTCCAGTGTTCTCACCTTCTGGGGAACACGTAAATCGTTTGTCAGTACTCTGTATCCCTCTACACACAACACTTTGCACTAAACCATCCCCCCTGAGGAGGGTGGGTCTGTGCCTTCCCGAGCCCGGTGTCGCTCCCTACACCCCTTTTAAATGGATGTCGTAAAAATGACTTGCCTCTGGATAAAAGGGAAGACACGGCCCTTAGATCCGGAGTTCCACGTGGGAAAGCACAAGGGCCTTGGTGCTGGCCTTTAATTTCTGTTGTCCTACAAGGGCCTGTGATTGCACAAGCAACGAGCACCAAAGTTCTCTGAGAATCAGGCATGCTGTTCACTGACCCCAGACAGGCAGTGAGGGATTCCAGATTCCTTCTCAAGCTGCCTGATGGCATATCCTACGTCGGTTTTGGATGTGAATACTAGGTGGTACTAGACTGGAAGGAATATTCCGGGTATTTCCCATCTGTGAACACACAGCTGAGTCAGGGCAGGCTAACATTGCCCAGGCTGGGCTAATCCACAGCTCCGAGTTCAGGAACCAGACCTGGAGATCCACCAGGATTCATCCACCATGAAAGGCAGCTATTCCACTCTGCTCACATCGAGGTGTCTGCTTGAGGTCTTAATCAGAGCCATCCTTGTCATGTCCCAACACTTCCCAACACTAAATTCATCCAGTGGCCGTTTTTAATTTTTTTTTTTTTTTTTTTATGGTTCGAAACATCCCAAGCACAAAACGAGATGTCAGGGCTTGTGCACATCCAGAAGCATCAAGACATGTGGCAACACCTTTTATGTGCCATTCTTTATCCAAGTATTTCAGAGTGATTTACAAGCGTTAATTAATGTTAAGTGTTACAACACTCCTGCTTAATCTGGAGTTTTTAATATTCTTCAATAGCAGAATATTTAAACGTGACCTGTTCTGCAGGTTGTGTTTTCACATGGCTCAGCTGCTTCAAAACGCTGGTCATGTTGCCACATGAGCAGGAAATTATAGCTAAAAATATTGCTATTGTGTGTGTGTGTGAATATATATATATATTTATAT